CCCAACAAAAATAAAAATTTTTTAAAAATTAAAAGGTAGTGTGAGGTAATCTTGGTTTAGTGAATAGCCAACAGAAATATTTAGTCTAGCAAGCTTGAAACTGAAATAACCACACCTTGCTAGGTACAGACTTGTTAGGCAGAGGGTATTTCTCTCTGCAATGTCCATTTTCTAGCTGGCATGTGCTGCCTCTAATTTTTTTGAACAGGTGATGGATGCATAAAAGTCTGAAGGTCTACAGAATACAAGGATGTCTCTTGGCCCCTATCCTCACAATACGGAAGGAGAACATTCGATGCTTTGGACATGCCATGGTATTATCCTTTGTAAACCTCAGGTTCCCTGGAAGGAGGGGAGATAGAGCCTATTTTCTAGGATAGGAAGCTGTGACCTAATCCACAAAGCACTGCCTCTGGCTTATGGTCCTGTCCGCTTCATCCGTTATGGTCTATGGATTCAGAGCAGCAATTTACAAGCATTTAACTCAGGCTGGCCTCATCTACAGCTCATTTTTAAAAATAACAGGTCTGTAGAGAAACTGTCCTGGGCTATAACCTTAACCAGTTCTGTACACTTGGGAGAGCCCCTGAGCAACCATCACAGGACTGTAGTCTGCCTCAAGCCTACGGAGACTGCTGTCTTGGTTCTGAGGTGTCCCTATGGTAGCTGTGGCTCCCCAGCGCCGGCAGGCCCCTCCTCCGCTCGGCAGGCCTGCATCCTCCCGGAAACATAGAAACAGGGCCCTCTAACCCCAGGGACTGTTCACCTGGAGAACACTGTTACCCTTCAAGCAATTCCCAAGGAAGAAGATGCCTTCACTGGACATCAGGGTAACACATATTCGGAAGTTCAGAGAACCAGCTCCCAGAAAATGGAAACTTGGCCTCCTGTGCAGGTGTTCCATGATGAATGAACAGGCTTGCAAAGGTAAGCCGCGTTTTTATAAACAAACTGTAGTGTTAAGCTAATCTTACCTCTGTAAAGTGCATCTCCTGAGTTAAATTCTGGTGTACACCAGTTTGAGTCAAAGGATCTCTAGGTTTTAACTAACAGAAGGCAGGAGACCAGATGGGATCTAAAACCATTTTGCTGTGGCCAAAAAAAAAAAAAAAAAAAAAAAAAAAAAAAAAAGGGGAGCAATAAACTACCAAGGAAGGAAGTTGGGTTATTTTCTCCATTTTCAGATTCACTAGAGCATTTTTCTATGGAAGTATGAACTTGCAGGGCCCTGTTTAAAAAAAAAATTTTTTTTCTATGATCGAAAATTACTTCCTACTGGTTTCTGTGTCTGCTAGCTGGGATAGTCACCTCCTATCCTTGTGCCTTCAGCCACCGAGCAGTGTGTGGCCTCCATGAGCTGCCTCTAGGGAGAGGCTGAGGAGGTGGATGTCCCCCGCCTGCTCCCCTGCGGCCACGGAAGGGGTCAGCGCCACCCAAACAGGTAAGCCGCCTCGCCCCTATGGCAGTTTGTACCGAATTCCTCCCCCTGCCTTCAGGAGTCCTAAACCAGTTCTCTCTGAAGCCAGGAAAAACATGGACCAGGGGGCCACAGCTTTTCTCTGGGGAATACGAAATTACAGCTTGTGTTATGCCAATGTCGAGACTACTGCCTCTGGATCTTTTAATCGAATTTCTAGTCCACTCCTAGAACAGAAACTCTCAAAGTCCAAGGGTGCTTTTTTTGTACAATTGTTTATACAAATTCAACAAAGGTAAAACCGCTTTGAGGAAGGTCTAGGAAAACAACACCTTACAAGAATGGCACTTATGGAGGCATAACTTTACAACTAGGAAATAGCCATGTTATAAACCTTGAACGAGAACTCAACTCACCTCAAAGGAGAGAAAAAAGGAAAAGAAAGGCTATGTTGGATCATTTATTCTACTTGACTCACTGTATAAATTAATCTGTGTAGGTACAACAGCTCATGCGCTGGCCGCAAAACCCTCCTGAGTGCAAAGGCTGAAGTCTGAATTTTAAAATTTTGAGAAATAGGTGAATTCTGTACAGAGTGTCTTACTTCGACTAGAATTAACATAGATCCACATGCTTAGGTAATTCTTGACGTCCAAAGCGGGCTCTCAACTTCCAGTTAAACATGCTTTTAACGGGAAGGTCTTGGCCTGCTCTGCCAGATCTGGGCACGTGTGTAGATGGGGCATCTGTGTTGATGAAGTACAGGTCAAGTTCTCTCCTACCTCAGGGAAACCAGGAAAGTTGGCAATCTTCAAACAATAAAAACACAGGTATGCATTCAAACCTTGCATAAATAACTTTTAAACAATTTGTACAAAAATAGTTCTGCATAATGTAAGATGTAACAAAACCAACCAAACAAAATGTCAAGATGGCAGCAGAGGCGGTGTGTGGCCCACTGTATGTCGACACCAGCCCCGGGGTTGCGAGGACTGAGGCGTCCAAGACAAAACACCACCACCAGCAAAAACTCCTAAGCTCGCTCTTCAGCAAGAGAATTTCTCCAGAGTCCATCCTCCTCCGGCGGGAATGTCTTCTTGGTAAAGGCCGCCTTAGAAATGGTCCAGAAAGCAGTGCGGCTAGAATTCAGACCAAAGGAAAGGGTCCGGCTCATTCAGCCCCAGACAGGCGGCAGAACAGCTTCTCCCTCGGCAAGACTTGCAGATGGAACGTTCTGTGGTCTGTTGTCCAAGTTCCAAATTGAAAATCAAAGCCCTCCTTTTTTTTTTTTTTTTTTTTTAAAGTCTTTTCCCTCCTCGGCCGTGTCCCCTCTCCCCACCCATCCCTTATTTACATACTTGTCCTCGGACTAACTCAGTTTCTGTAGGAGTTTTTCTTCCACTTGCCCAAACTGGACACTCACAGACATTTCAGCTATGAACTGCTCACAGCCCTCCTTGGTGACCTGCTTGCAGTACCTCAGGTCAATATGACAGATATTTCCACAGCGTTTGAAGAAGGACAGGCACTGGTCAGTCACCTTATTGCAGTCTGCAAAGAAGAGGGGACACGTGAGGTGGAGGAATCGCAGAGGCCCAGAGCCCCCCGCCACCCCCGCCCTCAGCCATGAAGAAACGGGACAGGGCCCGTGAGCATATTCCAGCCCCTCGTGCCCTGGGGAAAACTGCACTTGCTTGAAAGCTCTCTCTAAACGGGGAAAGGTTCCATCTACCAAATTGTAAAGGTTAGTATAGGCCTGAAAAGCGTTCAGACCATTTCAAGTGGAATCACTTAGAATCTTACCATTGCTTCTTTACATGTATATGTTCTCACATAAATAGGTCCCCTGTCTTTGTTGTTTAATAAAGATGGGGCCACACTATATATCAAACAGCTTGCCTTTCCCATCTACTGTTGAAAAACACCTCCCCGTCTCCATTACTGTGCGCTTATCTGCTTATTCCCTTCAGATACGTTCTGGACCATCTCTGTGGTCGTCTGAGGATCCTTTTCCCTCGTGTGGGCACCAGTGCTTTGAAGTGAGGTACAGCATGCTTGGGAGCCCCCTTACTAAGTGCAGAAAACCCCAAGGTGCTACAAGGGCTGACGAGATGCTGTCTACAGTGAGCAAACCAGAATTCAGAATCCGTCATCACCCCCTCCACTATAGACACACTTCTCTACCCCATATTCTATTGATTGGTACGTTGCTTTTATCACCCTCTTTTGTGTGAGAACTGAATCCACAGTTCTCTGGCTTCGATGCCAGTGAGCATCCAACTGAGGCTCAGAGATCCCCCCTCTGGCCTGATGATTTCCTTCATCTGAGTGGCCTTCATCTCGAGGCCTGTCATCACTAGTTCTGCATTTGCATTTTTCCGTTAAGTAGGAATGAAAACAGTAAAGGCAAACTGCAAATACAATCAGGAGCCCTGTGCTAGCGCTGTGGTACTGAAGTCCCAGGTTTAGAGGTGGCATAAAGAAGTAAAAAAGTTCAGCCAAGTTGCAGGACACAAAATCAACACACAAAAATCAGTTGCATTTTTATACACTAGCAATGAACAATCTGAAAGAAAATGAGCAATTCCATTTACAATAGCATCAAACAGAGTAAAACAGAGTAAAATACTTAGGAATAAAGGTAACCAAGGAAGTGAAAGACTTGTACACTGAATACTTAAGAACACTGCTACAAGAAATTAAAGATATAAATGGAGAGATTTCCCTGGCTCATGGGAAGACTTAATATTGTTAAAATGGCCACACAACTCAAAGCAATCTACAGATTCAATGAAGTTGCTATAAAATACCAACAGTGTTTTCTGCAAAAATAGAAAAATCATCCTAAAATTAATGCAGAAGTATAAGAGATCCTGAACTGCCAAAGTAGTCTTGAACACAAAATTGGAGGACTCACACTTCTGGATTTCAAAACTTACTACAAAGCCACAGAATAGTGTTAATGCATTAAGGACGACATACAGACTAACCAACAGACTATAACTGACAGCCTAGAATTTAAACCCTTGAATGTTCAAATGATTTTTGACAAGGTGCTACAACCACTTAGAGGGAAAAAGACAAAATTTTCCAACAAATGGTGCTGGGAAAATTAGATATCCATATGCAAACAAATGAAGCTGAACCTTCTACCTCACACCATATACAAATTTAACTCAAAATTCTTTAGACCTAAATATAGGGGCTGAAACTACCAAACTCTTAGAAGGAAATAGGAAAATCTTTGAATTTGTCAATGGTTTCTTAAAGATGACACCAAAAGCACAAAGTTAAAAACATTTGTGCAAAGGACATTATCAAGACGGTGAAAAGACACGCAGAATGGGTGAAAATATTTGCAAATCATGGATCCTGGCAAGGGATTACTACTACCCAGAATATATGAAGAACTCCTACAATTCAACAACAAAAAAATCCACAAACACCCTGATTAAAAAACAGGAAAAGGACATGAATAGACATTTCCCAAAGATGATACACCATCAACAAAAAGATGCTCAACACCACTAATCACGATGAAAATGCTAACTCCCCAAGACAAAACTACGTTGAGGGGCACCTGGCTGGCTCAGTTGGTAGAGCATGTGACTGTTGATCTTGGGGTTGTGAGTTTGAGCCCAATGTTGGATGTAGAGATTACTTTAAAAAAAAAAAGTATTTCAAAACTACATTGAGATATCACTTCATACCACTAGAATAGCTATAAAAAATAAAGTTTAGCAAAGATGTGGAGAAAAATGAGAACTTTGTGTCCTATTACATTAGGAATGTAAAATTGTGCAGCTGCTACAGCAAACAATATGGTGGTCCCTCAAAAAATTAAACCTAGAATTACCATGTGATTCTGCTAGGCCATGTCTGGGTATATACCAAAAAGAACTGCAAGCAGGGACTCGAACAAATATTTGTACATCCATGTTCCCAGCAGCATTATTCATAACAGCCAAAAGGTGGAAGCCACCCAACTGTCCAGATGGACAAATAAATAAAACTGAGTCTATACATACAATGGAATACTATTCGACTTTAAAAAGGCAGGAAATTCTGACACCTGATATAACACGGATGAACCTTGAGGACATTATGCTCATTAAAACAAGCCAGTCACACACAAAAAAACACTGTTATATAATTCCACTTACATAAGGTCCCTAAAAAAGTCAAGTTCACAGAGACAGCATGGAGATTGTCAGGGGCTGGGGGAAAGAGGAATGGGGAGTTAGTTTGTGGATACAGAGTTTCTGATGGGGTAAAGAGAAATTTCTGGAGAGGGGTGGGGGGGGCAGTTTGCACACAATGTAAATGAACTTATATGCTAGTGAACTGTATACTTAAACAGTAAATTTTATGTATTTTACCATAATTTTTTTAATTCTGTAAGTTGGAGAAGAGATAACATAGATTTGAGAAAGCTTAACCTAAATAGGCTGAAAGGAAAGCAGAGAAGCAGATTCATTCTGTAAAACACCCCCAAAGGTTCAGGTAGGAGAAAGAACAGGTCACTTGAGGGGCACCTGGGTGGCTCAGTCGGCTGGGCAGCTGACTTCAGCTCAGGTCACAATCTCGCGGTCTGTGGGTTCGAGCCCCATGTCGGGCTCTGTGCTGGCAGCTCGGAGCCTGGAGCCTGCTTCGGATTCTGTGTCTCCCTCTCTCTCTGCCCCTCCCCAGCTCATGCTCTGTCTCTGTCTCTCAAAAATAAATAAATGTAAAGCAAGCAAACAAACAAACAAACAAAAAAACAGGCACACTGGAAGTGGAGCTAATGAAGGGGCTAGATTGGTGGCTGTTTGATTCCCTCCCTAGATGTTGACATAAGAGAGAGAAAGTCTCTGGTCTGAGCACCAGGCTGGGACACCCATTCAAAATCAGGGTCTAGGGGGGAAACTTACCTGCTGTTGACATCCCCGGCTTCCTTCCCCTGCCAGGCCCCAGGACACGGGGCAGTCTGGCTTGCACCCTCCAGTTGGGAGGTCAAGGAGAATCCTTTTGGCAACCCTGACCAGCTCAAGAGAAACCTCTCAAAGATCTCACGTCTTGGTTTCCCCAAAGAAACCACCTATACTGACCACACAATGACTGACTGCTCCAACGTGTGTCGCCAGCCTCTGATCACCTTAGTGTGACAACCCCTGCTGACACCAAAGCCAAGACTTTATGAGGGCACTGACTATGTTTGAAGGAAACCATGTAAGCCTGGAGAAGAAAATAAAGCTGTCAATATCCTCAGGCTACTCTACCGAGGTTCAGAGAAGGGGAGAATTCTCTGGCTGGCCTAGGTCAAGCTGGGAGCTGACCCCGCTGCTGGGTGTAGAGAGTACTTAAAAATAAAGTCTTAAAAAAAAAAAAAAGCTCAGATAACAGAAAGGAGACAGTAGATGGTGGTGGGGTCTAGAGAGGCGACAGCTGTAATATTAAAAATATCAGTTGAGGGGTGGCTCAGTCAGTTAAGTATCTGACTTCAGCTCAGGTCATGATCTCGCAGTTCTTGAGTTCGAGCCCTGCATAAGGCTCTGTGCTGACAGCTTGGAGCCTGGAACCTGCTTTAGATTCTGTGTCTCCCTCTCTGCCCCACCGCTGCTTGTGTGCGGTCTCTAAAAAATACACATTAAAAAAGCTTTTTAAAATTATCAGTTGAACCATATGAAACTGCCCATGTTTTCACGGTGTTTGACCTACATAAACAACAGTAAAAAACTCGGTATATGAATTGTGTGATAAAGTAGAAACTCTCAGAAAAATGAGAAGACCTACAGGTGGAAAACAGAAGAAAAGGAAATTGAGAAATAATTCAATGAAGTTTCCTAGAACTGAAGGACATTTGTTTCTAGGTTGAAAAATCGAAAGGGCTCATGAGTGTGGTGGATGAAAACAGATTCAAAGCAAGACTCAACAATTACAGAAAACTAGAAACTAACAAACTTTTGATTAGAGAAAATATTCACTGAAGGAAGAAGAATCAAATGGTTTTGGATTTGGACTCTGAATGCAGAGAAGGAAGCGCCCACTTTCTGAAACATCACAGTTGCCAGATCCAGCTATCAGTTCAATGTGAGGGATAATAAAACCATTTTCGGACGTACCAAGTCTAGATGTCCTCCGCGAAATCAGAGAGACAAGAAGAAACATGGGGTCAAGGAAAATAGGGACCCTACACAAGACAGAGACCAAGAAAATTTCTAGGCTGGCAGCTGGGCAGCAGGTAGAAGTCTAGGAGGAGAAAACAGACAGGAAGGGAGTCCAGGAGAAAGGGCTCCCGCCAAACACTGGTCGGGGCCCGGGGTGCCTGGGGGGCTCAGCCAGTTAAGTGACTTTGGCTCCGGTCATGATCTCGAGGTTCCTGAGTTCGAGCCCCACGAGTCGCACAGAGCCTGCTTTGGGTCCTCTACCTTTCTCTCCCTACCCCTCCCCTGCCCGCACGCTCTCTCAAAAATAGACATTAAAAAACAAAAACCAAAAAACCCACAACTGGCTGGGGCCACAGAGAGGAGTTTGTGTGTGAGGGAAGAACGGTATTCAGGTCTGTTGTAGGGTCTGCTTAGAGACTAAGCAAACAAAAAAAGACGCAATTATTAACTCTAGGAAAAAGAAAATTTATACAAGGGAAATGTACTCATAATGCACTATTTAGTTCAACAGTGGACGATACTTATGCGGCCACAGAAAGAGACTTAACCACGAATCGGAAAGATAAGGGGAGAGACGATGTAAGAGCAGCAATCCTGTGTTCTACACAGCAAGCCAGTAAGTACAGAATGCCTGAGTGGAAAAAAAAAATCAAGGTGTGCAAGTACGGAGACAGACACTGGGAGAAAGAATTTAAGGTGGTTGCCTGGCCGGGCGGGGGGGGGGGGGGGGGCGTGGGTAGTGAGCACCCAAATAAGTAATCTAGAGGAACACGCAGCCTAATAATGAAAGCTAGACAACTGTGACTTGACTTTGTCTCTAGACCATATGCTTCACGTTCATAGGTCCTGAAACAGGTCAACTGTCCTCTTTGTTGTGCCAGACTTTTTACCATTAACTAGTTATCCTGATGGCAAGGGAAAACTTTTTAAAAAGCAATGAACCTAAAAGAGACTGGGTCTCAAGGTTTGCCTTCCCGTCCGGCATGGCTCTGAACAGGAACTCGAGACACCTCTATGTACTGAGGCCAAGGGGTGAGCTTCGTGGAAAAACACAGAAGCGCGTTTGCACACGACGGCATTGCAGGGGAATCTCTGCTCCACATGCAGGGCAACCGACAGTAAACAGAGTCGCTGTAACACCAAGGCACACCCAGGCCCTCGTCCGCAGGACAGCCCCGGCATCCGTGTAAGACCTCGAGTGGAGCCTGGAGTCGGGATGGTCAGCCCTGCCTGGCTCTCTCCTCTCTGCCAACACGGGGGCGGGACGGCCCTTGCCGCGACTCCCCGAGGAGGAGCAGGGATGGCTTCCTCGGTACAGAATTCTCTCGTACCACCAACTTCCCCATTCCTCCTCAAATGTGGCACAGCTGACAGGAAGCTGTTGAGCTACTAAGCGTGAGGTGAAGGTGGCCTTTATTAGTTGCTAATTTCTGGAGAAAAAAGCATTTTTTGAGGGTTTGTGTAAATCTTACATCCACAGCCTGACCCATTACTGTCAGTCACCCCCAGGGCCTTAAAACCCGACTCCGGCCCCACGGGCAAGTAGAGGGAGCGCGGGCTCTGCAGACACAGGACCGCAGCGACACCAGCTGTGGGGCTTCCTTCTCTCCGACGGGCCCCTTGCTAGCAGGGTCACATAAGCGAGGACACATACATAACCCCAGCAGACGCTGAGCTACCTCAGGGATCAAAGCCTGCCTGGCCTCACAGCCCGCGGCTCCCCTGCGGGAGCCGGCTTGTGTGCACCACCGGGGAGCAGTTCCTCCAGCCCGTATTGTGGGTCAGGAACCACTGGCGCGTGCTCTCGCTGCCACCAGCACTAATCTTTTGGCAGCAATCATTACCAATCCAGTGATAACTCCTGTGTTCAAGGTTTCTCCACCAGCCCAGGCTGTCTGTCTTGTTTTCAGGTACGTCCCAGCCCTGATCTGTGACCCTGTAACAGCAGGCACACAGCGGATTTCCCCACAAAGGTGAAATTTCCAGCCTGTCCCCCAGGGTCCCAGGCAGAGCCTGCTGGGTGCCTCTGACTGACCTGATAGGTTGATTTCGGTTAAGGAGTCTCGGGTGGTGGTGCCCACAGCGGTGAGCAGGTTGATGGACTGGTCGGTAACGTGGTTACAGTAACTGAGGTGGAGCTTGGACAGCAGGGGCATGTGGCGTATGATGAGCCGCAGGGAGGCATCTGTGATGTCCAGGCCTGCTAGACGCAGTTCCACAATGTTCCGGAGCTTGCTCCGATTGTCCATCTGACCTGAGGGGGGCAGGAAGGAGAGAGGCAGCCATGTCAGCCTGACCGGGGAGATGTGGTCACAATGACCTAACACTCTAGAGGGCCCACTGGCCACATGTCACACTTCAGTTTCACTTAGCCATTGTTTCCCCAAACTGGTTCCCACGTTTAAAAATATAAGGGTTCCACATCAACTCTCCCACTTCTGGATTCCTGAAAAATCAGGACGTCTAGAAACACAGCCCACATTCTACCCAGCAGTCCTCAGCCAACTAGAGCAGAGACTGCACAGCATCTCTGATCACCAGGGTTTCCTCATTTGAGCTACAGGCAGGGAGCAATGACCCTCACAACCCAAGCCAGGAAGGTTCCATCTTGTGAGCTCATCTCCAACTACACTGACCCCCGTGCTCACGGAAGCTTGAAGCCAACGAAGGACAAATTAACAGAGAAGTAGTCAGACGCATGCAAAGCCCCCACAGTGAAGTCCTGGGTGCGCAAAGAAGCCTCTGCTCTCAGTGGTCCCTTCTCTGCCTGAAGCTGAGTGAGAACATAACAGCATCCTCCGGAAAGGGCTGGGACCAGAGAAGGCTTGAGAACCCGTGCACCGGGTGGGGCCTGTAGTGAAAACCAGATCCAACGGCAGAGCCTGGTCAGACTGCCTCCGCGTCGACCCCCTTGGGCCCGGCCACTCACCTGGCCTGTTATCTGTGGGCGGGGACAGGAGATCCCGCATCTGGGCATCCTTTAGTCCTTCCACCCACTGGACATCCAGGGTCCGGAGCAAAGGACAGCTGGAGCTACAGAGAGCTGAGACGGCGATCCACGAGCAGCCCGACAGCACCAAGTCTCGGAGCCCTGGGGGACAGGGGAGGACTGGCAGGTCAGGCGATGCACCCAGCCCCCACCACTGCACCTCCAGGGTCCCTGGCCCAGTGCTCACCAGGCAACCGGTTGATGAGCCAGCTCAGCTGTTTCTTGGAGATATTGGTCCAGCTGAGGTCCAGGGAGACAGGCTGCCGCCGGATGATGCCACTCAGCATCAGGGGCGTGATGGACTTGCAGTGGTTCAGATCGATGCGGGTCCATAACCGCTTATCGCAGCACCTGGGGGCCAGGTCCAGTAGAGGGGGTGTCATCAGACTTGAAGCTGGCCCCCTGCACTGCCGTGGCAGCTCACCCCACTGCCACGTTCGGAGGAGGGGGAGCTCCTTAACTCCGCCCTCTGGATCCTTCTCCGTTTCACTCCTGTCCTGCCCACACCTGGGCACCTTTCCTCTGATGGCCCCAGGCCCCCATGGAAGGTGCCAGTACCTGCTCTTCATTAAGTATTTACTGGGGCCTCTACCACACCCCCTACACACCACTTCTCACAAGAACACTCCAGGCAGACACCGTATCATGCCCTTTTACAGATAAAGGTAAGTCACCTGGCAAAGGCCAGAGAGCTAGGAAACATCGAAGCTGAAATTAAGATCAGTAACTGGAACACTTGCTTTTAACCTGGACTACCTCTTTAAGGACAAGGACTCCACCTGGTCCCCAGTTCATCTTCCAAGGGCCGAATCAAGCAATCAAATAGGGTTCACCTCTTCTGACAAGACCAGCGTGACCAGATTGCTGTAGCCACCTGGAACTCTTTGAGAAGAATAATTAAGCTGGACTGAGCTTAGAAGGAAGGAAAGACGACCATGAGTGACTTGTGGAGACACATACCACGCATGTGCCATTCCTGGTCTAGTCTAAGCCTTAGCCTGGAGCCCAACACGGCGCCAGTCCCTGGCCGCCTCCCCGTCCAAGCTCAGCCCCTCACCAGCGGTTCCAGGTCCTGCAGACCCGCATGCAGACACACAAGTCTTGGTGGCTGAGGTAGCTGAAGACGGCCATCCACACCTCCCTGTGCATGACGTGGGCCGCCCCATCGTCCAGGGGCAGTGAGTCAGGCGGGGGGCTGATGGGGGGCGGCCGGATCACATGTCGCTCCATCTGGATGCACTTGGGCGGGGACACGGAGGGAGGGGGCCGGGAGATGACACGGGGTGGGCTCCGCAGGCCGGGCCCCAGCTGGTGCCGCAACTCCCGAGGGGGGCCGGTGAGCCCCTTGCTGAAACGGTGGGGGCGCTCGCAGAGGCCCAGGGGCCGCTTGGGCTCCTCGCTCTCGCTCTCGGGCTCTGACTTGATGGGCTGGTGGTTCTCATTGGCCAGGCTGTTCTCGGTCTTCTGGATCTCTTGGTTCAGCTCCTTGCTCAGCTCCTTGCTCAGCTCCTTGGTGGGAAGCCGCCTTTTCCGGCGCATCTTCACCTTCTTCTTCTCCTCAGGGCCCTCTGCCCCCTCGGTGCTGGGCCCGGCGGTAGGGGAGCTTGAACGGGAGTGGTCGCTTTCCCGGGCGGTGGGGGGCGCCTCGGGCAGGTCATCCTCTGGCTCCTGCTTGAAGCGCCGGAGAGGCTTGTTGGCAAGGGCCATCCGGTCCTCGGCGTTCTTCCAGGACCGCCGCTGAGGGAGGAGGGGGGAGCGAGGGCAGCTCAGCCCCTCGGCTCGGGGCTGCCTCCCCATCCTCCCACAGGGACCCAATGACCCAGGAGCAGG